GTGTGTGTGTGTGTGTGTGTGTGTGTGTGTGTGTGTGTGTGTGTGTGTTAGCAAAATATCACAACCACCACCGAGGCAGGTTTTAATCAAATTCCCCAGAAACGATCATGTGTTGAATGAAGCAGTTGGGCACAATAGCAGAACTTGCTTCTCATTTAGCGGATTAGCATTTTTGCTAACTTTGGAAACCGTTAGCGGAACGATTAGCATCYGCTAAATTGGGTTCCGCTAATTTTAAGTGTTAAACTTCTATTTTTATGCCGTTTACCCCGAATTAAGTAAGAACGGTCCCCTCTTACGAGCAGTGCTGAATGTGAGAGGCACCGCGTGTGTTAGCGTAACATCTTTATTAGTTAAACTTCAAAGTAAGAGCATCAAAAATGAACAAAATAACATTTAACAATATTTCAATAAAAACCAAAAATATATTAAAGTATTTACTATTTGTTATGTTTATAAAAATGCAAACTCGATGAAAGAAATGGTTTTGTAGAGTTAAACTGAGCGTATCACGGTAGACAGAGCTATAACTCTGGTTCGGATTGGACGATTTACCCCAGATGATCCCGCCCACCTTCAAATTAAACCAGTAGAAAACTAACAACAGGTTTGCCTCAGTCACAGACGGAGTGACAGTTGTTATAGCGTTTAGCATTAGCTTCTGCCAGTTTTCTTTAAATTGGTTTAGCAGTTTAGCATTTAGTGGTTAGTGAAGCTAAGTTTTTGGTCAAACATGAATTAATCTACTACTTGATAACTCTTAGAGTAAACCCAATTCAAGATGTTTGCCACAGCTAATTAAAAAAAAAAAAACACAAAAAAGGCCAAAATTAATCAATTTTTAGAGATATTGAGCTGAAATTTGGTGTAGTAGTGGCTGAAAGTCTTTGACAACACAAACTCTGAGTGGGAACAATTTTGTGACATTTATTTCACAACTTCTGATCTTCACAGTTATCGTTTGTTTGTTTTATAAATTCTGTCATTTGAAGGTACAAACGGAGTGATCATTCTACTAATGCTAATCCTGCTACAGCTACTATTATTAATGCTATTTTTACTACTGTTAATTCTGCTAATGCTACATAAACCAAGGCTATTTTTGATGCAAATTTTGCTACTGCTACTACTACCAATGCTAGTTCTAGTAATGCTAATTCTGCTACCACTACAACTATTAATGCTAGTTCTACCAATCCTAATGCTAATACTACTATGCTAGGACTATATACTACTACTAATAATAAGAATCTAAGTTGTATTACTGCTAATCCTTCCAATGCTTATTATATTACTGTTCATTATACCCAGACAACTGCTAATGCTATGACTACCAATGCTAGTTAATGCTAATTTTGCTACTGCTACTACTACCWATGCTAGTTCTAGTAATGCTTATTCTGCTAACGCTACAACTATTAATGCTAGTTCTTCCAATCCTAATGCTAATCCTACTATGCTAGGGCTATTTATACTACTACTAATAATAATCTTAGTTGAACTACTGCTAATCCTGCCAATGCTAATTCTACTACTGTTAATTGTATTAAGACAACTGCTAATGCTAGTTCTACTAGTCCCACTGCTAGTTCTAACAGTAGCTAGGGTTTAATTAGCTTTAGCCAACCTGAAACAGTTTGAAATGTCACTTTAAGAGAAAATAAACCTCTTTAGGAATAGAAAACAGGTGGGAGTGAGAATAGTTTGCAACATTTATTTCAAGACTTATTGGTCTTTAAGGTTAGTTTGTCTGCTTTATAGCTTCAGTCATTTGAAGGTAAACACAGGGGTTGGGTGTGGGGGGGGGGGGGGCTTCAGTCGGTACTAATTTTAGCTTGCTGTTTCTGTTGCTTTCCTCCTCTCGGACGTCACCACAGGTAAAAATATCAGGCGTGACGGGGCGCGCTAAGAATAAAAAAGCACAAGTGTTGTTTGCAAATACGATTGCACAATCCCAGCCTCAGCCAGCCCGGCTCTGTCGTTAAGGCCCGGCAGCCGGGCCGAGTCCTCCCCGTCCCACACTGACCTGCCGGACACCAGGAACGCTCCGAATGCCTCGTTTGCCACAACATGCCTTTCCTTTCCACTCAGTTGCCGGGGCAGAAGGAGCATTAATAACGGAACTCTGCGGGAGCCAAACGCCGGGCCGGCAGGTCTCTAACCGCCTCTATTTATAAAACTAAATGTTCCACAGAGACTCTGAGAACACAGTGGGGTGTCACTGAATAATCCAAGGTCCTCCTTGCTCTTCTATCCCCTTCACATCTCTTATCGGTGCAAAGAAGGCATCCTCTGACACCCCCAGGTCGTTGGGCTTAGACACGGACGGCTTGAACGGAAAGTAAACAGGAAACAATCATGGAGAGCTAATCTGTACTGAAGGAAAATAATCTGCTAATTCACAAGATAAATACCAACATCCTGCTGTTTCCGGCTCTGATGTTTAACTCAGTCATGATGGAACTGTTGTCTTTTCCCAGAGTGGAATAATCAAACACTTCAATGACTTAAAAACAAATGTTTGAAGAACGAGTTGGAATTTATTGAGTTATTTTATTTTATTTTACAAAATAATGAGTCAAAAACTGATTTTACTGGAACTCTGCTTTAAAAAGTTCAAATAAGAAAAAAACAAATTTACTTTGAATGAAATAGTTAATTTGGTTTCATTAAATAACAGCTGGTGTGAGCTAGCTGATGCTAATAGCAGTTAGCGCCAGTTAGCTCGAATTAACTGAAATGCCTCTTTCTACCAGTGTCCCTGTCCACCAGTGTTGTCCATCATAGTCCCTGTCCATCAGCATCCCTGTCCACCAATGTTGTCCATCATAGTCCCTGTCCATCAGCATCCCTGTCCACCAATGTTGTCCATCATAGACCCTGTCCATCAGCATCCCTGTCCACCAATGTTGTCCATCATAGACCCTGTCCATCAGCATCCCTGTCCCCCAATGTTGTCCATCATAGTCCTTGTCCACCAGTATCCCTGTCCACCTCTGTCCCTGTCCATCAGTGTTGTCCATTGTAGTCCCTGTCCATCAGCATCCCTGTCTGTCATAGTCCTTGTCCACCAGCATCACTGTCCACCAGCATCCCTGTCCACCTCTGTCCCTGTCAATCAGTGTTGTCCATCGTAGTCCCTGTCCATCAGCATCCCTGTCCACCAATGTTGTCCATCATAGTCCCTGTCCATCAGCATCCCTGTCCACCAATTTTGTCCATCATAGTTCCTGTCCATCAGCATTCCGGTCCTCCAACATCCCTGTCCACCAGCATCCCTGTCCACCAGTGTTGTCCATCATAATCCTTGTCCACCAGCATCCCTGTCCATCAGTGTTGTACATCGTAGTCCCTGTCCATCAGCATCCCTGTCCACCAATGTTGTCCATCGTAGTCCCTGTCCATCAGTATCCCTGTCCACCTGTGTCCCTGTCCATCATAGTCCTTGTCCACCAGCATCCCTGTCCACCAATGTTGTCCATCGTAGTCCCTGTCCATCAGCATCCCTTTCCACCTGTGTCCCTGTCCACCAGTGTTGTCCATCGTAGTCCCTGTCCATCAGCATCCTTGTCCACCTGAGTCCCTGTCCACAGTGAGGACAGTCTTTGATCACCAAGTCCTGACAAGATCAAGAAAGAAGCTCCAAATTTTTCAAGCTGAACTTAAACCTACAACTGTTCACATGGATGAGACAAATGTCTTCTGGAGAACAATTATATCGTCATACAAGAAGAAAACTGATCTATTTGGACACAAAGACAAGAAGTCTTTGTGTCTCAACACTCCAAGTGAAGCGTTCAGACCTGAGACTAAGGCTGAATCAACTGTCAGACATGGTGGAGGTAGCTTCATGCTGTGGGGCTGAAGTGGTTCATGGTTCGTGGTTGAAACTTGGACACAGTTGGGTCCAACAGGACCATGATTCCAAATGTCAGAGCTGGTTTCTGATTGGATAAATCAGGCCTATATGAAGCTCCGCCTTCAACTCGACTCCAACCAACCGATTTAAACCAAGACGAAGAGCGGAACCAGAGTTCTACCAGACACAAGCCTGAGGTCTAACTTGTGGTTCAAAGAGTTCCTGTTATTAAAAACCATTGAAGTTTCATAGAACTGATCAACTGGACGAAGAACGACGCAAATAAGTCATTAAAAAAACCAAATTAATACAAAGTTCCAGCCTGGTTCTGGTTCTGGTCGTGAGAAAAGGCTCCATCGGGACTCAGAGTCTATTATGTCTCCATCATGAGTTGTTGGTTGTAACACGAACCTCATTCTTTCCAGCAGCGTCTCTGTGTTGATGTGTTCTTATAAAAACAAACAGCTCCCCTGGTGAAGGGGGTCCGTTGTCCCCCCCCCAACCCCCCACCCCATCGATATGACGCAAAACGCTTAAAGATAAAGGTTAAGTGTATAACAGAGGTTAAATACGAGAGCTTATTCAGTTTGACCCGTTTAGGACATGTCAGGTGGCGGGGGAGGGGGGGTCTGTGAGCCGAGCCGTCATGCTGGACCCATGGAGTCACTCAGTCTCCTGTAGAGGGGTGGGGGGCGGGGGTCCGAAGTGATCTTCCTGACCAGAGGTATGTGTGGAATTCCAGCCTCGGCTGACTATCTATATCAATGAACCGGTGTTTGTCGTTTCTGTCACTGGTTGTGTTTTCAGGCTGGACCTGGACCTGGACCTGGACCTGGACCTGGTGGTTTCAGCTGACCAGAATCAGAATATTTGTTTTTATTTGTGCATGATTTATCTGTTTCCCTTCCTGTTTGTTCTCAGCTCAGTTTGTGTTTCTCTGTGCCTTTGATCCGTTTCCCCTCCCGCACCTGTTCTCTGTTTCATTACTCACAGCTGCAGCCACTCCTCTCATCCAGCCACAGTCCATAAAACCTCCTGCCTCTGAGCCACGTTATGGTTCTACCAGTACCTCTCTGTGCTTCTCCTCGAGTTAAAGTTTCACTGCRGTGTCGTGTTTAATAATGTTTTTGGTATTTTTGTTCCGCAATTTCGGGTTCCTGCTAAACCGTAACAAACTTTTTAATTTGTTGTTTCTAAAGTATCCCTTCAGTTTCTACAACTGTTTTCATCCACAATGAAAATGACCTAAAACGTTAGTTTGGCATCTTCCAGCTCATAGTCTGATATAATCTAATCTATAATCTTAATATAATCCATTGAGTTGAACAATTTTACCCTCCTGCTACCCTGGGGTCAAAAAGACCCAAGAGGCTTGGATCCAAATACTAAGACCTCAGGTCTTTTTGACCCCAGGGTAGCTGGAAGGTAAAATAAGTTACTCAGTTACTCGCACACAAAACATTAGCCTCGCAACGATACCATACCAATTCATTGGCTGTGGCGGCCATTTTCAATTGGATTGATTCCAAAAATGAATGGGTTGTTGACCAAATTTAATGATTGTTTAGGTTTATGAATATTTTACTAACAGACAAATAGGGATGATTCAACCAGAGCGTAGCGGTTGGAGCACGTCTTGGAGACGCCACATTCAAATCAGTGTTGTTTTCGTTAAYGATGACGAAATATTTTCATTGATGCCCTCTTTTTTCATGATGATAACGAGACGGTAATGAAATAAACAGCTCCTCCCGTTCTCTCACAGCCTGCGCCGCTTCGCAAAAAAAAAAAAAAAAATGTCGTCTGTCACCTGTAGCTTAACCAGGGAGTAACATCTCCACCATTAAAACCTGTCGCAGGTCCATTCTGAGCTCAGAAGCTGTTTGTTTACGTTCATGACGAAAGTAAAACTCCTTTTTTTTTTTTTGGCGGGGGGAGTTAGCAACTGTGCATGTCAGTTCTTCTGTTCTGAATAAAAGCCTGGTGCATGTAAACACTCGTTTGCACAATTTTAATAGTCTACTAAGTTTAGAACTGCATGTTGTCTGTTTTTATAAATAAGATGTATCTTCATGGTCCTGGCTGACAAGTTTGAGTTGAACATGTGTGTTCTCCTTTACTGCTTATAATATTGGACATGTGTGTTGTGGATGTTTATTGCACTTTAGCAAATTCTGAGAAATAAAGCCACAAAGTGAGAATGTTTTTGTTTTGGGCATTTTTAGAGTAACACAATTTCACAAATGTTAACAGAAATTACTCAAAAAAAATTAGTTTTAATTTTAAAAAAGACAACATATTAGTCTTTACAAATTAATTTAAGTTTTCGTCAACTAAAACTGGACTAAAACCATTAAATATAGAATTAACTAAAACTGACTAAAACTAGGAAGTATTTTTGTTAAAAAAAGACTAAGACTAAAATTGAAATGGCAGTCAAAAACAACACTGATCCAAACTCAACATCTGTAAAAGTGGCTGAGGTAAAATTGTTTTTGGGCTTGGCGTTGGCGGCCATTTTTAATAAAGTTGGTTTTAAAAGGCTTAAATGATGATTGAGGCAAACCTGGACATTAATCAATAATCAGCTCGTTTCTTCTTGTTTGATCTGAGTTTATTTTGTGAAACAAAATTTGTTATTTGTTAAAAGTCAGTGAAGAACATCAGTTGTAGAAAACGTCACAAAGGTGGACCTCTAACTCTGGTCTGATGGAGAACTGGACCAGAGAGGTCTAGTCTCTGGTGGGTCTCTGCAGACCGAGGAACGTCCCCCTCTGCTGGTGACCACCGACACGTCAATCAAAACGCCAATGAGCCAGGATGTCTGGCTGAGCCTTAAGGTCAGATACCACAGATACTCGGCGCCACTCCAGAAGTGATTCTGAGCCGTCACCGGGCCCTGCTGGCAAACGTCCAGAACTCCAGCTCAGAGTTAGCTGAAAGTTAGCAAAACAGCTAACAAGCAGCCGAAATGCTGCAAATGCATGAAAAATAAATGTAGACTAGACATGGGTTTTTACGGTGTAAAAACAAGTGTGCATTGCCATGTAGCATGGCAATGCCTGCAGCAGTGGACTTGCAGAATGAAATGTGACCAAGTTCAAATGTGTTTTCTATCAACTTGTGCTTGTCAAGTCAGCCGGTGTTTGTAATGAGGATAATTGTGTGACAATATGAAGTTTGTAGAGATTTTTTGTTAAAGTTGCTGTTACTGGGTTTTGAACCCTGATCTCCCACATGAAAGCTTATAGAGTTAACAATGAGACCATTGGAGCTGTGGCAGAGGGCACTGCCAGGGTTTGGTTTGTATGTATGCAGAAAGAGGCCACATTGCCAATGCAATTGTTGACACTAAACTGTAATATATTACAACAATAGAGCAATATTAGGACAATATTATAGTAAAACGTAAAAATACAATCATATTAGTATTGTAATCACTGAACTATTGAGATTAAATATTATTAAACTATGGTTCAGTACTGAGTGGATACAGCAGGGGGCAATATTGGACCAATACAAGGCTCCATTGACTCCCATTATAAATTACTAAACATTAATATTTCAAAAACTATAAGTTGTACCGGCACCAAAAGGCACTGCCATCATTTGGCACAGGAGCTTTACAGATATAAATTACAATGGCAGCTCTAGGACAAAGTATGCAGGAGGAGAAGCRTGSCAAAGWGGAGATGACTTGGATGGGAAAYGAATCACAATAGTGTGCATTGGCAATGCACACTGATTATTGTTTTACAGTCGGTCTTAGAAAACGTCTGAAACGTCCAGGGGTTTGAGACTGGAAGCAGGTGGACATGAGGACAGAGACACACGATGAGTTCAGGTGGGAGAGGACAAACGGACGCTGTCCTCGGACACAGATTATTGGACAACATGCAAACAGGAGAAGAAGCTGACGCCACTTACCGCTTCGTCAAACTCCATCTCTGAAAAGAACTTAAACCAAGGCTCACTCTCTAAATCTACATCTTCTGGACTTACATCCTGAGTCTACGGGCCGAGGAAGACGAGGAGGAGGAAGAGGAGGAAGACAAGAGGAAGAACAGGTTCAGATAGAAGATAAAAAACCAAGTCAGAAAACCTTCAGCTCCAAAACACCTCCAATAAAAACAGAAGAAAAGGATCAGTTTTACAAATTCATCTGTAGGACCTGAAGAGACCAGGTCTGCAGGTTTTAAAGGACCTGAAGAGACCAGGTCTGCAGGTTTTAAAGGATCTGAAGAGACCAGGTCTGCAGGTTTTAAAGGACCTGAAGAGACCAGGTCTGCAGGTTTTAAAGGACCTGAGGAGACCAGTTCAGAATAACGTGGTCTCTGGGTGAAACTAATCCTGTCAGAATAGGGCTTTAGATGCACTAATGCACCCCTATACCATCAGGAAGGCAGGTCCTCTTTAGTTCAGACTTGGTATCTGATTCCAGGACGGCTCTGCTCGTCTGTTTTAAGCTGCAGATAATTAACATTATTTAAAGTTTGATTCATGTTTGCTGCCTTCAGAGTTTAAATTGACATCTTTCACTTCGTCTCATGAACATTGTGAGATCTGTCRATCATTTCCTTCTGTTTTTATTTTACTTTCTTTGAGTTGGAGGTTTTCTGTTAAAACACTTTCCAGTTTTTCTGGCAGATTTTAAGACAAGAGAAATAACAGAGGAGAGTCAACGAATAAAGATGAGCAGAATTAAAGGAGGAAACAATGATTTTCTTAAACATAAACATTATATCTTCTAAAGTAAACACTTCTAAAGACTAATTCATATTTAAACCTTTAAGTCATTTTTTTTCACGTACAGTTTGTACGGAGACAACGTATGTTGTGACTCGGTGTTATATAAATAAACTGAATTTAAACCATATCAACGTGCTAATAACGGCTAATCCRAGCTAACAGCTAAAGTATCTTTATTTTATCTGTAATATTCATTTGTAGTTCAGTTTTTTGATTAAATATGCGGGAAAATTGCCTCATTATATCATTAAAGTACCTGTGACATCAAATTTTTGTTCTAAATATGAATGCATTTTTRGAAGGATATCATTGATAGCATGTTGTAAAAAACAGTTGTTGAGATTTTTGCATGTGAGGAAACAGGAAGTGATGTCAGAGATGACAGAATATGAATGAGCATCGTTACCATGACTGAAAACAGACTGTGGAGAAGAATCTGATGTTTCTGCAGATTTATTTTCAGAGTTCAAATAATATTGTTTTGATAAACAAAGACCAGGAAATTCATTTTCTTAGGAGTTCCCCTTTGATGTCACTTCCTGTTTCCCTTTGACGGAGCCAGGTTCGAAGGACAATATGGCAGTTATGTTTAGTAATAAAATGTTCTGTATTTGAAGGACATAAAGATTCTTTTTTAAGTCAATCTGATAAAATATAAATAAATCTATTTCATCAGTTATTTGTTCTGAAACAAGATGGATCATAAATCTAAATTTAATCTAAAGAAYGGTGTCAGACGGTTCTGTTAGGAGGGGGCGGAGCCTAAAAAAAMCAAACAGATCCATGTTTTGTGTCTGAGCCGGACCGATCCGACCCGACAGACCTGCAAACAGGAACAGCATCGCTGCGACGCTTCCAGGCCGGATCACCCCGTCTGTCTCTGCCAGAGGACACGCTTCAACACACACACACACACACACACACACACACACACACACAC